AAAGAGGGTTGACAAAATGGCTTGATTGCAATGGCTGTGTGTTGTCGTGTCATTATCATAGCCAGATCTGTTTTTTTTAAATTTGGTTGAGGTTAAAGCAAAATGAATTTCAGTTTTGTTTATTTTTTTAAATTGTAAGGCGTTTTAGTGACATTTTCCAAAACGGGCAGAATTGTAGGTTGTAACAAACTTGTATGAATGTCATATTCATACAACTTGTCATATTGTCATATTCTAATTTTAGAAGAAATAAATGATTACAAAGAAAACATTTTTTTGATTCTTCTCCAGATCCCATTTGCAATTTTACTTTCCAACAAACCATTCTTTGAAAAATGGAATAGTATTCTGCTGGTATTCAGACATGATTGCTCAATCTATCAGACCACAACATGTTCAGTATGTATGACTGTTTGCCACAGCAATACTACTCTATATAATCAAGAAGACTTCTGTGGTCTTATACAGGCAACTGCCTTTCTTTAATAATGGGGGAACATTTATTCACTTCATTTCATATTATAAAAAGATACATTATAATCACATTTTAATCAAAGTGTAGCTCCATCACTTTTGATGTTTTTGTTCCTTTTTCAAATATCAATATTCACTAAATTTAACTCAACACAGCTAAAGGTAGGATTCACATAAAACTTAGCCTTGGAACCAGCATCAGAGCAGCTCCTTTCTTTATGGGTCAAACCACTGGGTCCATGTGGACTGGGAACCTGGACCTGGAACATAAGCTCCGCCTCCATTGTACATCGTACTGTACTATGCTGAGTATATCAATGTCTAATTGTTTACCAGTGTTTTGTAACAGTACCACTGGGGAAATGGCGCAATTAAAAACAACCAGGACCACTGCTTGTCGCTGTCCTCCAGCAGATGACAGACATTTCCTCGAATCAGAATCAGAATGTGATTCATTGCAAATATTAAAGAAAGAAAGATATTAAAGACACAATAATAAACAGTGTGTGTGCAGATGTGCAAAGAACAATAAGGGAAGTAGAGTGTTGTGCTATGTTCCTCGGTCATTAATGTGAGTTGTGGCTGCCTGGGTGAAAGAAATGCTGAACTGTTGGTTGGTGCTGTTGTTGCCATCTGTGATTTTTATCAGCCCATATACCTGCTTGCTAACTCTTGTCTCGTCGTGAGCAGTTGGATTGACCTCTGACTAAGTGTGTATCCTAAAGTGGGATGAGTGTGTCGATTCCTCCTGCTTACAGCAAGGTTCTGGACTGCAGTAGTAGCCTATAGTTGAGTATAGCTTTACCAAATTTGTTGTTCCATTTTCCCTCAAATCTCTTGTAACCGAGTGCATTCAACAACCAATCATGGCTGAGTGCCGCTGTTGCTATCTCTATCCACTGCCTTTTATATAATGAAACTGTGTGGTGGGCTAATGCTAGTTCCATTTCCTTAAACACACTTCAAGTCTGGTGTCTTTTTTACTCTTAAAGAGATCAAGCTGTGTCTGCCACAGTGCCGCCACATCCAGTCGCTTCTCAGCCAGACGGATACCCAAGACCGGCCACTTCTGGTGTCTCCAAGCACACCATGCCCAGGGACTAGTCAATGTCTCAATGCCACCATTTTGTTCAGCCAAGGGAGGCAAGGTAGATGTGGGAGATCAGTGGTCATGGTTCAGGGTCCAAGAAAACCTTCTCGGTGTCAAGCTAGTGTTTTTGTTGCATTTTAACACCTGTTAGGTCCTGATCAGACAGAGCGCTTTTTAGCAGCCTGGGGCGGCTTTTTTCTAATTGTTTTCAATGAAAGTGAAGCGTTTTACTTGCTGCTTTTGCATTGCTGAGCACTCACGTTTTTCCGCTCTATGCGCCTCACGTTTTTGCAGCAGCACCCTGAACACCTCAAGTTGAAAAAACTTCAAAAGCGCACTATGTCATTTGCATTTTTTCCCATTGTCCAATTGGATGAATTGAGAGGCGGGCCTTCTGTGGTGGTGACGACAACAAGTGGAGAGACCACGATGGAGGATAAACTAGTGGTGGCTGTCGCTGAATACCTGGGGTTATACGACTTTACTAACCGTCATGATGTCACCAAAAAACAGCAGGCCTGGAGACAAATTAGTGCTAAAATAATGGTTAGGCTAAGGACAGGTGACTTGGTGGTTGCCTAGCAAAAAAAACAACAGTAGACTTCAACAAAAAGGCAGTGCGATGCGACTCGTGTTTTGCAACCTGCAAAAGTGCTCTGTCTGATCGGGGCCTTGGAGGGTCGGGGTTATTTGCTTCCAGACCCAGTTTGTGGGGGGAATGACTGAGCCTCAATTGCTCTTGGATCAGGATTTGTCTCATAGCCCACCGATGGTATATGTTGGTGGCATATGTGTGATGCAGGTTTTGCAAAATGGAGTTTTACTTTTGTCGCTTTGTGTAAAAGATGCACTTTGCCTTATAAAGACCAAGCTATAATGATATGTCTGTAGGCTAAAACCAACTACGAAACTAATAGTGACCCTGGTAATTTTGCCGCCAATTTTGTCGCCTTCCTTCAGGCAACATAACACAACATAGGTCAAGAACGGTCAAGAATGGAACCATATCTATCTAACACCGGCTATGGGGTCCAGCCCTCTCATTCATATCACAATGGGGATGCTTGTTGGGTTGGGTTGTTATGTAACAATTATGCACCATAGAGAGCTCAGCGTGATCACATCAAGGTCTTGTTTGAGAGATCCCCCCCCCCCCCCCCCCCCATTGCAGGGCAAGACTCAGTGGGAGGTTGGGGAGATTTGTCAGTGTTTACAGAAGGAAGAAAAAAAACACACACACACTCTCTCACACACACACACACAAAAACACTGGCATGCACCTGCTTCTTTACTCTCTTGCTCCCTCTCCCTTCAGCTAATCACGATGTAATTGCTAGGTGCACGCTTGCATGCAGTATAGAGAGTGCATTCATCAGTGGCTCCTTTAAGTCAATAGATGGAGCCGAGCTGTTGTCGTGCCTCGCCAGTTGTTAGGGTGAGTCGCAATAAAGGAATGTGTTTTTAAAGAGGTGCCCACTTGCTCCATATATAGGTCTATAGTCTTATTCAGTCGTATTAGTCTCATAGTCTTATTTAGGCTTTTGTTTTTCGTCTGAATCGTTCCATCGCTTGCGTACCCGTCGAAACGCACTAAATAAATTCCTCTCTCTGTTCATCTGCTAACTGACGGAACAGAGACAATGGTTTTGATCGATATCCAAAATGGTCCCTTTCTTTATTTACACTGTACTGGCCCTCTGATCAATATATCTGTGACTAAGTCAAGTATGTAATGTGATATTGATTTGGATGTTCAAGGGGTTGAATCTACAATTATCTGGTCTTGTGGTAAGAACAGCTGTAGTCTGCTGTATGTGCCGCAGGCACATACAGCAGACACAGCAACGCATTAACAACAGTGATATTACCAGCACTAAATGAGCACTCAACGGCCACAAGAGGAATTCCTTCTCTGGCAGTGAAATACAAGCTGTCAGAATGATGATCAAATTATTTGCGAAATAGACAAATACACATATTTGTTAGTTTATTAGTTAGCATATTGTCGTGGGAAGACAGGTAGTATAGGGCCGTTTCTGTGTCACATGCTTAGTTCTCTTTTGTTATGTTTCCATATTTTGCATTATTGTTTCTTCATAGCAATTCAGTTGAGGCTGAGGCAACACACTATTTGATTAATGAAGATATTAACCGCGCATAACGACTGAACTGTACAACTACACTCAGCAAAGGACTGCACTTCATTACCAGTGTTTTTTCCCTGTGTGAATAGGGTTGTTTGTTTATCTAAGGATGCATTTATCTGTTAATGGGATTCTAATGATTTGCTAAATAAAATCATAATTATTTAGTAAAAGCACATTAAATGACCCATGCAAGCGTTTAGATTCAAACTATGTCCTAACCCCCATGTAGTTAACCAAATATTATAACCAAAAGACTCATGTCAGAATATTTAATATTGTTTTAATTACCAGAATTGTTGCCTTCAATTAAGAGCACTTTGTAATAATTGCATTGCTTTTTTCTATGTACTTTTCCTGCAGTCCTATAGAAGGTTAACCCTTCGTCAAATGAAAACATCTTCACAGTTTATTAAATCCAATTTCCATTTCATATTATATTGTAAGTGGCTTTCATTCAACATTAGCTATAATACATATCTCCATTTTATAAATAAACCTTGGCATATGGAACAATTGCAGTTGAATGAATACAAAACTAACCAATTCATCTTCTAATTCAAACTCTGTAGACCGTGTATCGATCGGTCTGAATCATACTCAGGACAGTGTCGTGGCCTGGGTGCTTTACTCCTAGACAAAAGGTAATGGTTTCGAACCCCAATGTCCGCGGCTTATCTGTTGGCATTATTGACCGTCAATATTCATCAGCAAATCACCCCTTCTGCTGACATCGTCATCATCCCCCGCTTCTCTCTCCTCAAGCGCCGGCCCTTGCTTGTACGTGCGTGTGCGCGTGTGTGTGCCGATCTCCCCTCACGTGTCCCTTTGTCTCCCGTCGTTCACTCCCGTTAGGTGCTACCTGTTGGACGGCATCTCCAAAGGTGCCTGGCTGAACCGGTCCAGCATCATCTTTGCCGGGAACGACAAGTGGTCGGTGGACCCCCGCGTCTCCATCGTGTCCAGTGTGGGCGACAAGCACGAGTACAGCCTCCAGATACAGAAGGTGGACGTGACCGACGACGGCCAGTACACCTGCTCCATCCAGAGTGAGCGCAACCTGCGGCCAAAGCTGCTCAACCTCGTCGTCAAAGGTGGGTTGTACCAGAGTTGTGAGACGGCCATTGGTGTTCTTGATGTGTTGTGGTGAGATGATGCGTTCACACAAAAATAAGCAACAACAACTTTAGTCTAATCGAGAGTGCAAATAACTCCAGTTGTCTTCTGTTGAATAATATAAATGTGATTTGTACCCTTTGGCATATTACAATATTGTCAGTGCATACATTTTTTGGGTTGGATAGGAGTTGAACCCTTATCCCAGACAGTTTTAATGTCATGCTCTACCAATTGAGCTACACAGGACCCCTCGAATGCACCCCACTTGGATATGTGGTTGGACATACACTATGATGGTGTAAACAGCAAATTGTTGCCGTTTTGTCCTCCCACATTTCGTTAGCTTTTAGCCTTCATGTAGCCCACACTGTCAGCATATGGGATCTGCCGATAGTATCCAATGGTATGGGTAGCTAATGGCCATCTGTGTATCAAACGCCATCTGTGCATCAAACAAATGTTATTCCGTTATATCCACCTGTTTCTATTGTCTAACATTCAAGTTTGTTGTCTCAACAGCGTTTCTCTTCAAGGTACGCCAACTTATCTTGTCTCAGGGTATATTTTGTGTCTGTAGGCTATTATACAGCATGCTTTGTGGTTAAAATGAGAAAGGGAAGAAAACACTACCAAGCTTTAGTCAAATCTCTTGGATTCGGCCATGGTGGCTAACAAAAAACATGACTGGTCAAAGTATGAATTCTAAGTAGTCGGGGTTAACCCGGGTACTATTGACATAAATGCCACCGCAGTAATTTAGTGAAGGCCTGTTTTAACCTTTTACCATTTAAAATATGCAACTTCAAGTGTTGTGTAAATGAAGGCTCATCTCTTTTCACATCTAACTATGATTTTATTGTTATCTATTCGCTTCATACGACAAAAGGTCAGGGGGGGACGGAGGGAAGTCTGTTGAAATGAGCAATTAGATGGCAGCGTTCACCAGCAAGATGATTACTAGTTGACGGTCGCGCAGGGTAAAAAGTTCACTATCCAACCAGTTGTACAAAATACATTAGGCTTCCGTATGTTTATTTTGGATTTATTTCACAATAAGGATATGACTGTATAATTAAATTATATCGTTCACTAATAGCTGGTAATCATCAAAAATGATTAATAGTTACTAATAACTGATAAATAATAATAGTCAGATATTTATTTTTTTATATTTATCTTTATAGAGATTTAGTTAACGATCCAATTAACAATCTCTGAAATTGGCAGTACTACATTAAAAATGTTTTATCCCATTTTATATTAGCGCACCGAAATCATGAAGAGTAATAGACGTCGGTATACATCAGGATAATAAAAGCTTTTAATAATAAAATAATTTACCATGTAATCTATGCTAAGCATGGCTTCTTTTGGTACAGTTTTCAATTAGTGTCAATCGTTTGGTGGGAATCAAAATTGGAATCCAATTTGAAGCTAAAGAGCTGACACAACCAAAATGGTGTATCTGCTGCCACAGGTTTGATTCCCGTAATTGAGTGTGTGTTGGTAAGACACTGAACTCCTTCTGGATAAATGACACCTAGCATGCATATTGGCATTCCCTTAGTGTCAATTATCGGTCCTGTATTGGATGGCAGGAATAGGGTGATATATCCTGACGGGTTGTTATTATCAGCTTCGACAGTGCTGCACAAAATGTCAAAGACAGTGTAAGAATGTTACAGTGCTGTTCATGCAACCTGCTGTAACTACTGTAGGGAAGAGAAATGTTTTGGGGGGATTTTTCATTGGGTTTCGCTGGGTTTACTCCATGCGCTGACGCTGCCGCTGACATTTCTTTCCTATCAGACATACTCAACATAAATAAATGTAAATATGTATAGCAGCCAAACAGTAGTAGATGGCACGTAGAAGAGAACAACGACACAGGAAATAGGTTGCCAACAAAAACAGTGTCTTTGCCATCAGTAAATCGATACTAAAATTGTTTATTTAACAATTTGGGACAGAATCAATAATGTTCACGTGACAGCGTAAAAGCGCCGGCGATGATGAAGGAGCGCTTTATTTTGCCGTCGTCGGCTTCGTCAGGACTGCATGCAATGGGAGTCTGGCCAAGGTTGCATGGGGTCGCGTCAGCCCCCTAACCACCAACCATATGGCTGCACTCACAATGCAGCCAGCGCGCAAGCAATTCTGCTGAGTGGCGCTTTCTCAAATACCCATAATTCCCTGATACATGCAACTTAAAGCTGCTGAAATCTGAGACTCTGTTTGACCTACAACTCCCCGGTCGGTTCACGTCTGTTTACAAATATTACACATGGTCGTATTTAACACGGGAGAGGGGGGCTCTTTTGTAATAATGAAGAATCGTATCCGACGTCTGGATATGACGTACGATTGAAATGGCTTCCCTGTAATTTAGCCGCAGTGTTAATAAATGACAAGAGACAGTAAGCGGAAGAGTGACGTCTGTCGTCTCCTAGTGGAGTAACTTGACCTTAGATTTTCAGTTTGTTCATCTTCTACAGTTAAATCTGTTGAATATGTTTTACTGACTGACTGGCACATTGTGACTTGTTTTACCAACACCGTGAAAAGGTGTCTTTTAATCATTTATAAATGTTTGGGTGGACATAGTCATAATTTCTTTCTTCTTGTTCTGATTTCTGCGATTGACAGTGTGGCACAACATGCAGAAGTTATCTTAAATGCTTTGCGCTTGAAAATGAAGTGAAATAAAATGTGTGCACACAATAGCCGCATGCGTCGTAGTGGACACGGCACATTGTGTGCATCTAGTATCTTTGCAAAGCCGGAAAAAGAAAATCCAGAAAGCTGGTGTGTCACCGAAAATTCCTTCACATCTTTCTAACGCCCAAGGCAACCGCCGACAACCTCAATTGAATTGAACGGGAACACAAAGACAAGCAAGCAGGCAGTTCTAGTGTGGTGGACATTTTGACTGAACTAGTGACTACTTCCCCACCACAACATTGTATTGTATTGAATGGCACTAAAAGATGACAAAAACGTAATCCTCACAGTCTCCAATGCAGGTTCGTAGAATAACGACACCAGCCAGGCCACGGTATCTGTCTAATCTAACATATCCACACCGAACTTCAACGTCTCCCAGGAGTCATGAAGGAGATAGCCAGAAAACAGGTAGTATCACCTGGGGGGGCCTTCACATAAATAAATGGTGGTCACCCCCACCCACCCCACTCTACTCCAGACCTAGTTTTGCTGGAACTGGTAGAGGTGGTGGTGGTGGGGGGAGTATAAACCAGAACAGGACTAGGGTTGGCAGACCCTCGGTCAGCATGTATCTGTTTATGCGGGAAGGAGGGGGAGGGAGGGGGGGCTTCTCCCCAGCAGCTCACTGCTGTGCCGATGTCGGGCCGTTGTTGACGTTCATTTTGCTTTGTCAAAACCTGCCGTGTGTTGTGAATCATTACCTGTCACGGTACAGGGCCTTGTGTACACACACACACTCCCACACACACACACACAACGCAGGCCCTCTCACGGAGAACAGAGGAGCGCTCACGCCAGATGAGATGCAGCAGGGGGAGCTACCGCTTGTCATGTTCTGGATGCTTCTGGGAGTCTGGTTTTCATCTGCCGACAAGGAAAAAGTAGCGGGGGGGGGGGGGGTGTGTGCGCATGTGTGTGTGTGTGTGTTTCTGAAAGTGCATAAAGAGGAGATTATTGCAAAAATGATACTAGAAATGGAAAGAGTGGGGGGTGGGGGGGCGTTATTTTACACAGCACAAATCCAGCAGCATTAAGTGGAGCCTGTGACACCCACACGGTGGGCCGTGTGCTGTGGGTCTCGGCAATGGACCAGACCCAGGGTATTCCCCCGACTGTAATCTTTTTACTCTGGCCCGCCGGCTTCACTGTCATCGGCATTACTGCCAATGACAGCGGAGCACTCTGCGTTTAAGTGTCTCACTTTGTCAGGAAGCCAGGAGGGTCCTACCACTGGTGGGGAGGAGGGGGGTGGATGTAGTCCTTTTTTTCCTATTGGAACCTGAAATCAATTACTGGTGTCTCTGTTGTCTGGGGTTTTTGGGGGGTTTTGTTTCAGTTTGGTTTGCGTGCTATTACCGTGTTTCCCTTTTTACAGGCAGTTTAACAACAGAGTTAGCATGAATACACAGTGTAGGGAACAACATAGTTTTGGGATACCAAGCACATGAGTCAGGGCTGGGGGGGGGGCGAGGGGGGGTGGGGGTAGGCATGGTAACTGTGACGGTTCCCCTCCTCTCTCTCAGAGCTAAACATTTCATCTTGGTACATCACGTAGCCACTCTTCCCCCCCCCCCACGGAAAACCTGTGTTAACTTCTACATTTTCTCTGTGTACTCCAACTCAACGGCCATTAAACAGCACCGGGGGGGGGGGGGGAAATATTGGGATTTAAAAAAAAACTGCCTTTTTATTTCCTAGGAGTCACAGCACAGCGTGTTACACGGGAGGTTAAGGGTACCTCCTTAATACTTCATTACGCCACCCAATTGTTTAGACATTGGGAAGTGTTTTGTGGGAGGTGAGAAATAAACACATATTTGCATAGGAAGGCAGTTTTTTTGCTGCAAAAATGACACCATAAAACCACACCAGTAAACAAAAGTTAAAATGTCATTACAGTCAGATTAATAATTAAAGGCACTTAATAACCTCCGCACAGTGTAACTCCACTCTGTTTTTTTAACGGCCCTTTAATAGTGATGTACATTTTCTACACTATAATTGCCTCTGCCACGTCGCTATTTACAATAATCTTACATGGCACAAATACCCCCCCCCCCCCAACCCGTTTCAATGTCTTTAACCTATTTCCACTATAAAACAGCATCTAATCCTGGATGCGCCAGCCTGCTTGCCATAATGCCTACCCTGCCTTCTCCCACACACACCTCCTCCACAGCAGCCATTTAATCCCTCCCTCCCTCGCTCCCTGTTAATTAAGATCACACGTATGATAATTTATTGAATACGCACGGCACCTTCCATCTAAGAATATCTCCCCCCGGCGAAGAAGGCGAGAGATTCAAAGTCACGACCTACCCTCAGAACTGTTATGTATGTGAGGAGGATCGGTCAATAAACACGTTATTATCAGGGTTTTTTTTCATCCAATCTTCAAGCGTCCTTTTTAAGCACCACTTTTTTTTCAACTTTGTACGTTGTATTCAATTTACATTTCACTGGCCGGATGGTTTTGATTGATTAATGCATCAATAACCCCCCCCACACCCCCCGAACATTTAATT